CTCTCTCTCTCTCTCTCTCTCTCTCTCTCTCTCTCTCTCTCTCTCTCTCTCTCTCTCTCTGCATAAATCCAAAATTGATCGTATCGTCGCAGCGCGTGACAACGTTTATCGGTTATTGAACGTAGCTTAATCCTTTCTGCGCGAAATTGAATATAAAAGCCTCGAAATTGCGGTTCATCGTCAAGTTTTTAGTTCACCGTGAGGTATTAGTTCAGTTGGACCGGAAAGTATTAACGAAAGGTCCATCCCGCGATTTATGGGCTGCGATTTAAGTGAAAAATTGACGCGCGATATATCGTTCCAGGGTGCGAGGTACGTGTATGAGTCGCACTTATGAATCGAAAGGCAACACGGAGCTTAACCGCTGATTTATGATCCCCTTCAGTCGCTTGTCCATAAAAGCAACGGTACAGAGTTCAGACTGGTAGTACAATGAGACACCGATTATACAAGGTATCCAGTAAATCATGATACGATCGACGAGGTTTCTCGTAAAAATTTGGTGGAAATACAAGACAAATAAACCGTTTTCTTTTATCAAGAACCGCGTGATCGGTCCGGGAGAGTTTACCTGGCTCGTTCACACGAGGAATTGTCTCCGCGATTGTATCGCGCGATTTCAATCAACAGCAATTATTCCCACATAGAGAGGGATTTGATGACGCAGTGGGACACTCATTGAATATTCCATGCAGCGTCAATTAGATATCGTCGATGTATGAAATGATCCTTCCCAAAACATCCACGTGCTATCAGAACACGAAATGCAGAAGTAAAGTAAATCAACGAAGTGCTTTTGTTAATCGGACGAAAAGTCGACGAGAAAAACCCGCATGCCGAGACGAACGCGAATTAGCTGGTCGTTAACGCGTAATCCACTGCGCAATCTCTCCGGATGAGTCCGAAAGAAGCGCCGCGTCTCTTTGTGAGGAGGCACGGGGCGAGGTCGACTGTGCATTGTGAGCGGCCGAGATTCATCTGGTGAGCCATTCTTGACATTAAACGTGACTTCACGCGGCCGCGTATTCTCGTAAGAAGCGGGACACACGCCGGTGCGCCGATACGGCCTCGGCGCGCTGATAAAAGCTCCGCGTGTTAAGAAACAATGCCAATACGGATAATGACGGTCTCCCACGTGAACGTTGCGATAAATATGGACAGAGCGCGGAAACAAAGAAAAATTCTCGAGTAAAGCCCGGCCGTTTTCCGCGAGACAGTCGGGGAAGTTACGAGATTGGCCGAAAGTAAATCCAGCGTATATATAGCCACCGCCAACGTGCCCCTCATTCCTGTTTAAATAATACCTTACGTAATGTGCGCGCAAGGAACTTCTCTCCTCCTTTGCCTCTTCCTGCACCTCGGCACCGCGCCCGTCCATTCATTTCATTCTCCTAGTGAGCGCTGAGTGAACTTTCGCTTTACTCAGTGTTACTGTCCGATAACGAAGCGAGTACCTGGGGAAAAAGTGGCCGATTCGGCGAGCGACGAGAGTGCTTTAGTGCCGGCCGTAATTGACAATGAAAGACACGCGATTGATTCGCCCGGGCTCTCGTTGTCGCGACCGGCGAGTCCTTCCCGCATATTTGCGGGGAATGTTCGCGTTTAAGGGGGATCTCGCACTTAATAGACTGTTTAGAAATCGCACCGTGCTGTTCCCGGCCGGCGGAGGATGAAGGGCTAACGAGGAAGAGAGCGTTCGGGCCCGCAGCGCGGGCCAATTCGCTCGGAATGTATTCAAATGTTCCTCTTCCCTCGGAACAAACGGCAAACAGTCGATCGGTCGAGCTACCGGGAATGTCAATTTTAAACGTATTTGATAAATAGATCTCGCTGCCGTGCAGCGGTCTCGGATCAAACTCTTTTGACTGATTGATTTTTTGTTAAGTACACATCCGAATGTAATATATACCTCTTGTTCCCTTTCAATCTGAAATTTAATTTTACCGTTCGGCGTGTACCATATACCGCACATATCCAGCATCTACCCTACCGCGTGCGCGCACGCTCGCGAGGACCGATAACGAAAGAGGATCGCAATCTTCAGTCGGGCCGTTTAATCAATAATCGAGCGAACGAACGTTGCGCCCGACGTTACGGCGTAATTTATCGTTCTTTAGCATCGCATGCGGATCACGTGACCGTCCGAATAAATCGAATTAGCCAAATCTGATCTTGCCCTAACTTTCTCCCGTTTTTCCCACCGGTATATCCCCACCGTCGATATACAATTTGAACGGTACCCCATTTTTCTATATCACGTCGAATTCATGAGGGTATCAATTCCCCGATAACACCTACAAAAACATCCCCCGATCTGGCCAACCTGTAACTCGTGTTAACCCCGCGATTGGATGCCTCCCGTAGAGATAGAGATAAAGGGCGGAGAAAGGTAGTGGAAATAGAGAGATGTAGAGAGGAAAAAACAGAGATCGTCGGAGCGGCCGGCATCACATCGGGCGCGAAAATCTGCGAGGTTTACCAGCAACTAGTGGCGTCGGTCGAAACTCCGAAACCCCGAGAGAGCCCTACAGCCTCCTCTAACCCACACGGCACCCCTCCTTCGTCGAACAGTGAGCCTCGTTCCCCCATTTTCCACGAGAATCCTCCCTCTCGCGCCACTCTTCCGCCACCCTCTCCTCTCTTTCTCTCTCTCTCTCTCTCTCTCTCTCTCTCTCTCTCTCTCTCTCTC